AATACATTTACTTGGTACTAATAATAAAGTACATATGTCTACTGAGAGGCATATCTATATTTATAATTTATAATATTTTATATATTTCAATCAATTTCATAACTTTTTGAGAAGATTTGTTAGTCTAAAATTAAAATGTTGTGTAGTGTTTAATGTGCAAAATTGAAATTTTATTAATGAAAAACTATGTTTTCGCTGTGCGATCAGGCGTTTTACACATAATTTCCTTATCTATGATCTAACCAAAATATATTGGAGGATTAGTTCCTTAGTTATTATGCTGAGGAAATAATTTTAGGAGAATTTTAGATAAAATATAAATTTGATCTGCAATATAGTTTCAAAAAGTCCTTTGATTTGGCCGAAAATCGCTATTATTTATTTGCACTCTTTGGAATAGTAAAACATATTTAAGTCTATATCTATTCTGCAATATTTTCTCATGTCTTGTTAACAAATATTTATTATTTTTTGTTTGCAATTGTAAGAAAATAAGAATATCACCAACTCTCTTGCAATATTATTACGAAAACGAATAATATTTATTCATGACATCATGCATTGTCACATACGTTTTGTGACATTTTATGCGAATTCAGCTTCATTCTTTAATGTGGGAAATTCTAAAACAAAATAGGTAGATGTGATACTGTTACACGTTATTCGTGTATGACATATTCCAATTTTCACCGCAATTTTTATTTAAATATTTATTATTTTCAATTCACTTTTCTTTCGTACTTGTTGCATACGACTTTTGAAAAAATTGTCTACAATTAAGGAAAAGTACTAGATCGCTCCACCGGCCTACATGCAATGCAACAATCTTTCATAAATATAAGTAACCATTAAAAAAAAGTTCGACACGTCAAATACTTTTCATATTAATTAAAAAAAATTATTTCTAATATTAGTACATTAAATATCGACATGTGCTACTACACCGTTTGTTTTAATTGTTAAATTTAATAGAAAGTTTTATATCAATTTTTATTCAAGTTAAAACGTATAACTACTTACTATTGTCACATTATTTATATTCGAACAATTTCGATATTTGCATGAATTATGAGAATTTTCATATCACTTGAATTTCATTTTATATAAGTTCATTTATATTGTTTATTAATATGTAATTAGCTTTTTAGAGAATAATCTTGTAATAATCAATTTATCAAAGTTAAGTCGTTGAGCTAATATTTTTTTAAATGAAGTCAACAACGTTATGAAAATTAAAAAAAAGATAATCCTAATCATAACAAATAGATTTCGCAACGGTAGCGTTCGTTTATAATTTCAGTTAATAATTTGCGAAAATCTTCGAGTAATTCGCGGCTTTGAGCGATTTTGCTGCGAAAAGTTCGTCTTTCGTGTTAAATTGAAACTATTGGAAAATAAGTCAACACACTGCCGAGCTTCTGAGTTGTTTGCAGTCTTACGTTATACTAGTCTCTTGTTTGTTGAAATAAGAAATAAAATGACAAGTGTTAAAAGTATTGTGCAAAGTAGTTTCATATATAATTCTATAATATTGATGCTTAGTTTATTACAGTTTTTATTTCATTATTCCAATCCCTTTAATGAACTCATTGTCAGTGATGTAATTTTAATTATGACCGTGGCTCTCATGAAAAACGTCCGCCCGATTTTACGTGGTTATTAAAGTTCATTTTTGCTCAAGTTGTTTTACAGATTTTATAAGTTGACAGAAAAATGTAATATTGGATTATAAAGGTTATCAAAATTTATTACTTTTCTAATAGTAAAGTTGATCGCAGTAATTTTATTGATGATTCTTTAAAATTTTGCAGCATATACTGATGTTTTTTTATTTATCTGTATTTATCTATGATATCATCTACTTGCTTCACTTCAAAAAAGAATTCAAATGAATTTCATTAAATTCAGGTTTTTAATCATTAGTTATAGTCTAAGAGCCAGTGAACTATTTGACTAACCTGTTTTCACAAAGCCAGAAATTTTTTTAATGATATTTTATTATTGGCCCATTAAGAAAGTACCATTCTGGCAGTCATTCTGCGGTTGCGTCATCATCCCTTCAATTTGTGAAAATGTAAAAAAAACTGTTTTTATAACTTGCTCGCACAAGGCTCAAATTTTGAGGGTGTCTTCTTTTAACTGTTCAGAAAGCATATGTAAAAAGCCAGCCCATTCTGACGGTTGCAAGGGTCTGCCAGACGAGTACATAATAGTCACGACGCGCAAGGGTGTGGGCGCATTGCCATACAAAATTGACTAATACCCTTGTATTTGAATAATTAATACGCCATTTTAAAGGTCATTTTGAAAACATCCGTTATACCAAACTTCAACTTTGTATCTCACCTTATGGCCGAGATATCATTGAAAATATGCCAAAGTGGCCCCTTTTTCAAACTCAATTTTTGGCGTAACCATAAAAGATATCGAAAAAAAAATTACGTGATTCTACTCATATTGGCTTAAATCACATAATGTATAGTAATATATGCTAAATAATCCTTTATTATTAGCTAAAAAGGATAAAATAATTTTTCAATTAATGTTTTCGGATAGTGTGTTTTGTTTAATTACTTTATTATTAGTGTTATTTAAAAGCTTATTGTTTTCTCTTTTAGTACTGCAAATATGGTTTAAATCAAATTTGTGGAACACATTGAAAAATTGAAGAAACCAGAACCAGTACACCCGCGCGTAACGCATCGCTTATCCGACCGAACGAATTCTATGCGGGCTACTATTAGCGTTACGCGCGGGTGTACTGGTTCTGGTTTCTTCAATTTTTCAATGTGTTCCACAAATTTGATTTAAACCATATTTGCAGTACTAAAAGAGAAAACAATAAGCTTTTAAATAACACTAATAATAAAGTAATTAAACAAAACACACTATCCGAAAACATTAATTGAAAAATTATTTTATCCTTTTTAGCTAATAATAAAGGATTATTTAGCATATATTACTATACATTATGTGATTTAAGCCAATATGAGTAGAATCACGTAATTTTTTTTTCGATATCTTTTATGGTTACGCCAAAAATTGAGTTTGAAAAAGGGGCCACTTTGGTGAGATCTCGGCCATAAGGTGAGATACAAAGTTGAAGTTTGGTATAACGGATGTTTTCAAAATGACCTTTAAAATGGCGTATTAATTATTCAAATACAAGGGTATTAGTCAATTTTGTATGGCAATGCGCCCACACCCTTGCGCGTCGTGACTATTATGTACTCGTCTGGCAGACCCTTGCAACCGTCAGAATGGGCTGGCTTTTTACATATGCTTTCTGAACAGTTAAAAGAAGACACCCTCAAAATTTGAGCCTTGTGCGAGCAAGTTATAAAAACAGTTTTTTTTACATTTTCACAAATTGAAGGGATGATGACGCAACCGCGGAATGACTGCCAGAATGGTACTTTCTTAATGGGCCGATAATAAAATATCATTAAAAAAATTTCTGGCTTTGTGAAAACAGGTTAGTCAAATAGTTCACTGGCTCTTCTACTATTATTATTGGCGATGCATTTAAATTCAATAATTATAAATGCTATTGTTCAACTTTCATAGTGTGTGTGGATCTCATCGGTTATGGTTATATTTTTGAACTATTTGGATGTTTAGTGATACGTTTTTGAAAAATCGGCTTGCATACACACACACATTTTCCAAATTTGATCTTAATCGATTGAGAATATTTTGATAATTGATTGAGAATAATTTGATCTTAATCGATTGAGAATATTTTGATAACATAAAATTAGCAAGTCGGATTTTTTTGTCAAAAAATAAATTTCTCATTCGGAAAGTTAGCTATAATATTATAGCTCTTTTGCATAGTTGAATATATAAACTTGCAATAATATGATAGTTTATTAAACATATTCAAAAGCAGATTATGGTAGTATAAATAACCATAATATTTGTTTTATATTTTCTCTTGGAGCTTACTGTGAATATTTGAAAATTAATTCAGTAACATTTTGCGTTATTTATATTGAAATAATGAAATGCAAAGAAAATAAATGAAGTGCAATATACTCATTTAACCACATAAATGTTTTATGTCGTCGGAGTCGAGCCACAACGATTATATTCGTATATCACGGAGTAAGTTGTGCTACCTAAATTTGGAATATAAGGAGTGAATTTATTTCACAATATTGAAAAGCCTATTACCAAATATTACTTCTTTGGTTAACACGAGCATACATATTATATATGATTTAATCTAATAAAAAAAATGATTAAAGTTTGAAATTCTGAGTAGTAGCGCTCTTACCACCGTATAAATATATACCGTTCTGTATTTTGCACTGATCACAGTGTGGGTGTCGACTATTAAATACAAAACATTTTCAGAAACCGATTTAGAATGAACTGTGTTATATAATATACATTAATACTTTTACATATAACTTTGTTTTAAAGGCATTAATTGTGAATCACATTCATTACTTTTTGGTGTAAAGCAAATTATTTACGAAATAAACAGATGATAATTTAAAAAAAATAGCTATATGTCGATTCTTATTGATTAAGTCGATCAATTGCGTATATCAAGAAGTTCAAGAAACTCACAAAGGCAAAATGGCAATTACAACTATACATTTTTTACTAGTATAGTCTTAAAATGTTCCAAACGTTTTGAAAATAGATTAATAACGACGAGTATACTCGTCGATACATAAAATTCTGCCATTTCTCCATTGCAAGTATGCTCGTCAATTACAGTTAACTGATTGTAATATTATACAAGCGCTTTAACAAGTATGAGATTATCAAAGTATATATTATCTTGTATGGAAAAAAGCTTTGCATACTGTTGTAACTAATAAAATAGCGGTAGTGTACATTACAGTACAATAAAGAAATCTGCATGGTGTAATTTTGAGCAAAATTGAATGTAAACAGATGATGGAGCTTTATATATTGTTTGTATGATTTAAAATCTCTGTAGGGTTTTAAATATTAAGGTACTAATTTATTGTTTTTGTTTTCAGGTTTTGTTTCACGGCCCGTTTTGGTGATATAAAACTTCGAACGGATACAACATAACGTAAGTTTTTTTGTTTTCAACAATCATATATTCATTTCATAAGCAGTTTATTTTTTATAGTTAGGTATATTACTGTTAGCGATTAATATATTTTCAAATAGATTTTCTTCATTTTTGGAAAGACTGACCAATGAAAAATACTTGGTAAAATGCATCTAAAGCCTATATATTATATATATATATATACAAATTAAATAAAATGGGGTATAAAATAAATGTTTTTAACAACTATATTACCTGTCCTCAATAAAACTAGCAGCAATTTATTTAATTCTTGGCATCTGTTCCTGCTCGAGTTTTCCTATTCCTCGTACGCCAGATTTTCTCACTTGAAAATTTCTTCATTCGGAAGCAGGAAGGTAATTGAGTAGAATGTGATTTTTAATTAACGTGAATGCTGTATTTTCAGTCATAAATCATATCCCCAACTCGCTTATTGCGAAAATCCGCGAAAATGCTTGCAGAGGAAACAAATGTTTTCTAACGTTTTTATTATAATTAATTTTTCTTTTTATTAGTACAATAAACATAATTTTTTGACTGTTTCGAGAGACAACCAACATCGAAAAACATGATTTGTCAAAATGAAATAGGTGCGCCCAAAATAGCTAATCTTTATGGTACACTTATTTGTGATATGTGATGTTACCTTGGAAGACAAGTAACTTAAGATACTCGAAAATTGGCCTACCAGTTAGTTTTGATCATATGTAATTTACTTCGAATTATTAAATAAATCTGTATTGATAGATATAGCTCTAGATTGTTGTATCTTTTTAAACGAAATTATTTAATATTGATACTATACTCTTGAAAATGTGACTTCTGTTACGTAATGGAATATAAATTACTGAAAATAACAAACATAATGATTTGCTGTTCTGTAACTTGATTTTCCCCAGAAATTTATATCCTGATGTGATATGCTATGACTTATGCATATAATAATGCCCCAATTGTCTTTTCTTCTTTCTGGTGTGAATATTTGATCTTATTGCGTAATTTTTATATGAAAAATGTATATCAAAGCATTGTAAAATTAACAGTCATCGGAATATACTTCCGCCAGTTCATTCATGTATAGTTTCGTAACTAATTATGAGCGAGTTTGATTTTACATTGTTATATACTTATGAACATAAGCAGTGAGAAGTAAATATGAATAAATTATCTGTTCCATGGTTTGCTTATATGAGATAACGTCTAATGTTAAGTAAATTTAGTCAAAACAGAGAACTTCATAATATATATAGGTATATATATATATATATATATATATATATATATATATATATATATATATATATATATAATATATATATAACAAATGTATTCTGAGTGGATATAGATATTAATTAATTTGGAAGTATGAACAAACAACACTCTTTTTTGCACTATTTTATTAAATAATAATTTTCACAAACGTTTCGAGACTAAGTTTGTCTCATCATCAGTGTGTTATAATTTAAAATTTAAAATATGGAAACCTAAATTAGCATTATGTGTTATCCGCTACATGTTGTTCGAAATACTCGTACAACTCTCTCTGTGGCCAAATTATTCCTGCTGCCTGATTGGAAATTACTATTTTTATATTGAAAACCACAAGTAAATTCGTGATTGTGATCTGTGTTATTTAAATATTTTAAACTGTTATTTTTGATAACGAGTATTTCGTTTATATATATGTATATGTATATGTATATATGTACTGTAATGTAATATGACAATATTATCAAAATGAAAATGATAAAAATAAATGAGTGGATTATATAACAAAATATTAAAAATGTTAAAAAAAATTGTAGAAAGTTTTAAGAAAAGGTTACTGAAAAAAAATAGAGTTAATTACCCTTAATTACACTTTCACTAAAAAAGATTTTATCAAAAAAAAGTGATTTCTTTTGAAGCGAATAAATTAATTTTCTAAATCTAAATTTCTTCAAATTATGTCTTTTTCGAGTTTGTTACTTGAGACAAAAAGTATTATTCTCTCGATGTTATGACACGACTGTTGGTAACAAACTGATAATTGCACGCAGGGATTTTTGAAGTAAACACTTGCCGCCTGGAAACTATGTATATGTGTGCGTGTTGTTCTTATATATCAGGATGTAAATGCACAAAAAAATGAGAATTTTCAGTATTTTTTTGTTATTAAACGATGTTTTTTTCTTACAAAAATATTAATATGGCATTATTATACAATGTTTTGGCTTGAAGTAACAAAAATTTCAGAAAAAAATATTCTCAAAGTTATAGCTGTTTTTGTTTACCCTATTTCAAAAAACAGTTCTGGCGGTGACCGTCATAACTTCTTAGAGATTCATCTAAAATCAATCAAATTAAAAAAATAGTTTTATAAATAGATAATCCTGGGCCTGATCGAAGGATTTCTTTTTTTTTGCAAAAATCAACAAAATGGCAGCATCAGAAAAAAAATTCTAGATTTTTGGGTAAAAAATCAACAGTTGATTGTTCTGAAAAAATTGAAATTTTTGAAAAAGTAAAAATCCTTCGATCAGGCCCGAGTTTATTATGTATTCTAAAAGCTGTATAAATTTCATTAAAATTTACTAAGCGGTTTTTGAGTTGCAGTGGTCACCGGTTCGAAAAACATAGTTTTGAGACAAACGCTTTTGAAGTTTCACATTGGATTTACGTACAGAAATTTGAATTATTGAATTACTTCGAAAGAGTCATCTATTTCTGGGCCATATAATAGTTCATCAGTCATTGTGCAAGTTTTCAAAATTTCCTAATGTTGTTGAAGCATTCTGGTCTCCCGAGTGTTCTCGTTGGCGCGCTGATCTGCCACTTTCACACATGCAACATCCAATTTTTCAGCATACCACTGGGAATTAAACGCACAATTCGGTCCTTGGGTATTCATAATCAATAATAATGATTATGTATATGCATGTAGCAATTTGTACGATAGTAGAACTAGTATTCACGGTTTTTGGGCATATTTTTCACACTAGTTGATTGCAGCTCTCATTTTTTCTGATTAAGGATTCAATCTTGAACTACACATCTTGAAAGTAAATTGTCATTGCTGAGATCGTCGTAAATCGGTTTAATAGCTTTTAAAACATCAGGAGGTAATGGAGAATAATCTTGAGTATAAGTATCGAGCTCTCCACTTGTGTCAACGCGCTGGTAAGAGTCCAATAACTCAAAAAGTAATCAGTAGAGAACATTTTCAAGATATTACACTTAATGAAAATGCAAAAAAATAAAAATCGATTTTTCAAAAATTCCAAGTACCCCTAACCTTCTTAAATGGATGTCGATATTATTTGTCAAAAAGTGTAAAAAATTTAAATAAGAATCATGTAAGTGTTATGTTCTGATCTAATGTTAACACTATTAGAAGCGTTCATAAGTATAAGACAACTTTCTGCAAATAACCCCTTAACACTAGAAGGACGGACGCAGTCATTTTGACTGTTTTCCATTTTCAAACATAAAAATAACTATGTATTTGAAGTCGCAGCTTCGTGAAATTTTGTGACTTTTTATACAACATCTAAATGCGTAGATAAATCGTATTATTTGCCTTATCTCACTTTTATTTTCAATATTTTTACATGTTATGCCTGCATGGACGGAAAACAGTCATTTTGACTGCTCTAGAAATTTTACATAAACAAACGGCTTTGTTATTGTATTGCAAATCGTTATCTCGCGATAATTCATCTCGAATGAGCCATAATGCATTTGTTACATAGAAATAACCGAATTATGGTAAGTATTGACATTAGACCGGTCTTTTTCACATAGTAACTTTCAGTATAACGCGTTGTTCAGTTGATTTTTTAGAACTTATAAATAAAATGTCGAAGAGAAGTGAATTGTTGCAAAAGCTAACACACATAAGTGAAGAGTGTTCCGACATAGAATAAAATGCAGAAAATTGGGCACAATCATCTGAAGATGAATTGGATTATATTCCACGTGAATCATCTGATTCTGAGGGTAGCGATGAAGGTGATCACTATTGATGAAAATGAAAGTGCCATCAGTGTATGCAGGAGGGTGCTAAGTGGCTCAGAAACTGATGAAAGATTTCAAAAACTGGAAACAGCTGTCGATGGTACTGTATGGACAAAAATTGCCGAAGGTGGTACTCCAGGAAGGTCATCATCTAATTGTGTTTTCAAGGGTGTGAAAGGGCCAACAAGCTATGCAAAAAAAATATTATTACAGGTGATCTTGTCGGTGCATTTTCGTTGATAATAGATAATTATATTATCAAACACATAAAACAGTGCACAGAAGAAGAGGGCAGTCGAATTTCGGAGTACGATTGGACAACATCGTTACCGGAAATACGTGTATTTATTGGAATTTTATATGCTCGTGGGGCCTATGAGGCAAAAAAATTGAAATTGACTTATTTATGGTCAGCAAAGAAGACATGGCAGATCGAAGGTAAAGAAAATATACCGTGGAATCCAGTTCCAATCCAGTAGATGACCTCTGCAAATATTTTTCAATATTTTGGATTTGGCTGCGATAAATGCCTGGATTCTTTACAAAGAAGCGACAGGAATAAAAATCCAAAGAAAACAAATCCTTAGAGAACAGTTTTTGTTTGAATTGGCAGAACAGCTTTCCGCGGACTACACGACATCAACACAAAAAAAATCGAAGGAAAATGATGACCCACAGACATTATGCAAATACCAATAGAAATAAAAGAAAATTTTGCTAAATGAGACTTTGTAATAATAAAAAAACTAATAATACGTGTCAAAGTTGCAACAAACATGTTTGCGGAAAATGTATTCATAAAAACATCTTAAATTATATTTGCATGAATTGTAAAAATAATGAACTTCTTTTTCAGATGAACTATTTTTTTATTTTTAGCACTTATAGATGATTTGTATAAATGTAAATAGTACATGAAATAATAAAAATTAATTTTGAACAAATTTCTAAACGCATTATTTATTTTTTTCACGACGCAGTCATTTTGACTGTTTTCAGGCAATGTAGGTATATTCAATTCGTCCGTCTTTCTAGTGTTAAAGATGAAATTTTCATGATATAAAATTTTTGGAATGAAGTTAAACGAGTAGGCATTTTCGACAGAGTAATGTTATGAAGATCATGTTTCTTGACAGATGTCCTGGAGATGGAACGTACCTAGTTCCGAAACGTCGACAGTAAATAAATAAAGGAATGTTTTTTTATTACTTTTGGGATTTTTTGTTTGAAGCTCTACATCTACAATATATATATATATATATATATAAACTTTAGATTTTGTGTTCGCCATTGAAGCCTGCACTTGAATTGTTTATTTGCAGCCAAATAATCCAACTAAGAAACAATAAATAATTAACTATTTATTATGTATCTTTCGGTACTGTATGTGTGTCAAATATTTCACGAAGTTTATAAAATTACAAAGTAAAATAAATCCATTTACAATTTGTTAATCATGTGACTCAATTTGTTAATCATGTACTACGTGAATTTATAATTCTACTTATGTTTATTATTTAATTTTGATTCATTATTTTATTTTATGGATTTGAAATTTTTATTAAACAATGTTTGTGTGTGCATTTTGCTGTGTGCTTCTCAAATTAAGGAAAAGCATTAAGAAACATCTGTACCATTTCGTTTATATCTTCGTCGTTTTGATTTAAATACTTTCACATAAATTTAAATCGTATTATCACATGAATCCGGTGGAGCGATCGCGTAGTCACGTGCTCTTTGAATCTATTTTATCACTGATTCGCTCGTATTAAATGCGCATTCATTCACGTATATACAAGTGCATGTGTGTATATACATACGTATATACATAATAAAATTATTAAATAAAAAAATCAAAGTTCGGTAATTCAGAAATTTAAATCCAATTTACTTTTCAAGTCTTATTTTGATTCAACTTCAACATGACAGATGGCATATATGATGTTAACTAAACGAGTAACAAAAAAAACAAACTTGCATTGGTAAAGCTGGATTTGATTTATAATTATAAATCAAGTTTAAATTTATAATTTTTTTAGGCTTATAAAGATTATTAAGAGAGGTCCCAGGGGGTAAACTATGGGCATGTCTGCGTATGTATAATACACATAACATTTTTCTTCGTAATTTTATATTTTCTGATATAAAAATGTTCGGATATTGAAGATGAAACTTTCAGCAATACGATACAATTGTCGATAAATCACTCCCAACGGTATTTACAAGTTCTTGATTAACAGCTTTAGTTGCATGAGGGGGACTCAATACTTCACTGGTAAAGAAAGAGTGCCTTTATTCGAGGAGCGTTAGCTGTGTTCTTCAGATGTTAGATAATGAATGACTTATAAATAAATCAAACTCAAAGTAGACATTGATGTTTAAGAGTTTTATTTGGCAAGTTAGGGTTTAGTTTGTCAATGACAAATGTTGACATTGAATTGAATCATGATGTTGATAATACAATTCGTTATTATTTTTATCATCTTCACTTTTTTAACATTTTTTTTTCAACATTGAGATTACTTTTATCACTTATTACTCAGTACTTATTCTCTAAAATGTGTGATATTCACTGCGGTCCATGAAATTTAATATCGCTAAGAGCTACATTGTTATTAATTACATAACACGCTAGCTTGGGGTAGGTTTACGTAACGCCATCTAGGCAAATAGACATCAAACGATTTTTTTTATTTTTTTTTATTGTTTCCACAGCAATCAGAACTCTTTATTATTGTTCTATAAGCTGTTTTTATGTATGACTTATGACCTAAGGTATTGATATGAGACGTAACCCATCGGTTCATCCTTCTCCTATGTGTGGGGTTTTTAGATATTAGCTCTTATGTCTAATAATGTCAAACGAAAATGGGCTATAATATTTTCGAAAAATTCAAATATCAAGCAGTCGTGATGTGGTGCAATATGAACAAGGGTGTTGTTTGAATATATTGCAACTGTTAAGTGTGAATATGTCATCAATAGTAAATGCAATAAATATATCTACTTATATAATAATAACACTAAATATTATAATATAAAGAAATAAAATGTGAACGTAAATTATGCGTCTCGCTTTAATATTAATGTCTCAAACCTGAATATACCACAAGAGAGAATAAAGGGGGCTATTTGCATCTTTCATGTCGTCGTCGAGAATTCATAAAAGCCAAGATGTATCACGTACAATCAAGTTCTTCTTGGCATATTTATCACTAGCGAAAAGCATCAGCACCATTGTCTTATTCAAGATAAGCTCAGTTCTGGGTATAAAGCTCGAGTTGATGTGTTTTTTCATCACTCCTATGCATCACTCCTATTTGTTTTTTGTTATCAATAATAATAAGATCTTATGTTGATGATATAAAACAATTTATACTATTTGCGCTATTTACAAATAGTATAGACAAACTATGTTCAATTTCTAGATAACCTTGAATATACATACAAATACAAACCAAATTTGGGAAATATTTTATTTAATGGCGGCTAGAGTAGTGAATCGAGTACTATAAATTTTTGGTTGAAAGGTAATTGTTCTGCAACCTGTGTATTTTGTGTTTGTAGTTCAATAGTTTTTTTTAATACAATTTAATGTTTTAATAAAAAATGTATTGTAACAATAAAAACATCCTACAACATATGCAATTGAGAAGATGTACTTACATTCACCAAACTCGCCGCACAATGGGTGTGACGCCCTTTAAGTCCTATATCCGATTCGTGAGATCCCGGCGCCCATGTTTTCCAGGTCTGACTACGTGTCACTTACTTTTACTGGCTGCTTCTATGCGAAGCATGCCTGCCGCATGCCTCCGCTCTGCTGTCAAGCGAAACTTTATAATTGGCGGCTATTGCGGCCTGCAGTCGCCTGTAAGTGTCTCTGGCGTTGCGTTGCAACAAGTCCGATAGGTGCGGTATGCGCATCTGTTTCGGAATTATAAGTGCTGTCGGCGGAATTTGATTATAGCACGTGTTATATGTTTCCACAGTACTTCTGAAAGTGGTTTTGTCTGGTGTGGAAATCGATATTGTGAAAATTACCTTAGATGTTATTTATGTGTTTTTTAAAAATTGAATAAAGTGCGTTCAAAATTTAACAAAGTTCATCGTTAATATAACTTTACGGAGACGTTTGTTTTCAATAGAAAACAAGCGATGTGCTAATTTTATATAGTTTTGACGATTGAAATTATTCTGATTTGTTGCACATAAAATTATATATCTGTGTATATGTGTATATGTAAAAGTATATTTCTGTGTGTATGTGAGTAAATTTGACTCTTAGTCCGCGTTTTACGAAATCGGTTACGCGGAATTGAAAAAATCAACAGCCATTTTATGGGACTAAATAACGACTATCGCTGATTAGTTTTGCTAGATAATCGGCCGATTTGAAAGTTATCAATTGAGAAGCGCATTAATTAATTCTGAGTGAAAGTAGTAACATTTTTTTTCAACAGTTGATAATTTTATCTAAATTGTTAAATTTTAATTCTTATTTATACAGTTGATTTAAATCAACTTGCCTAAATCCTCTTTTGGCTCATTTAGAGCGCCGCAATAGTGTCCAAATGTATGACCGACACCGAGTAACTTTGGAGGGCCGATCTACTCATGCCCATGGTTCACCCTCTAGGACCTCCCATTAGAGGTCCCTCATACAAAAGGTGCATCATTTTGGATACTTTAACATGACAAAAATCTGCGATTTATTTTTATTTTAAAATGTATTTAATCATAACATATGTATATAAAACTATGTAAAACTTATAAATAATTGTTTAAAAAAATATTTTTGCTGATTAAAATAACAAAAACGATGATTTTTTGCAACTTTTGTATGGACGGCCTTTAAAAGGATGTCCGAGGGGGTGAACCTTCCAGTCCAGGTTTGTCATACATTTGAAAGCGATTGGAGCTCTCTAAATGGGTTAAAACAATTTTTTTCAAAATTCATTCTCTATCTTTGGATCAATGCACGGGACATCAGAATTCATTTTACGGGACATACCCATTCTGTCTTCATCTAGATAAGTACTTCAAATTTGTTTAGAATATTTCTGTAAGTGTTATATGTTTCTTTAGTACTGTGTCAAGCATTGCAAGGAATAGTTGGTGTTTTTTGTATATCAAAAATTAAATGAAATTTAAATAAATTATTAAAGAATGTGTAGTACATAAGTAACTGTTTTTGAAATTACACTGAAGATGAGACACACCATGGTCTCGAAACGTCTGTAATCATAAAATAAAGTTGTGTTAAACAAATCTGAGTGCTGTTTTGTTCATATTAAACAATTAATATATATATATATATATATATATATCCTTAATCTAGAATAATGTCGTAATCGTATGAACTATCGATTTGAAAAAATGTTTGTTAGCAAAATGGCGACTGCCTGAAGAAAAAATATTTTTTTTACAACTTTTTTTTTATATTCTCGTATTTTGAGAATAAGCGTAATTTATACTG